CAATGGTAGCTCGTAAAAGAAAGGAAACAGAACGCTCAATTGCTCTTTCATTACCTCTTTGCAATTCGCATTTTGTCCATCCATAAAGCGAATAAAGCAATGAATGCTTTCATTGAAACCATTTGGCATGTTTGTTCAGTGCGATTTAAATGTACAGGCGGAGAGAAAATTTCTAAGTTAGAGCTATCAGATTTTGCTAGACATACCGACTGCATGCCTTAGGGTGGTGAACAACAAAGGCCACACAAGAGCACAACATTGGTGGCAAGCAATGCTGCGGCGTGAAATTTTCTGCATCTGCTCATCTGCGTAGCAGTCGACAGCACGAAAAATGACACAAAGACCAGCAGTAAGTCATAGTTGATGATGTGGTTGTCACGATGGTCAGCCAGCATTCTCTCTTGCCTTTGTTAACACCATGCCTGCATTTCATTGCCAATATCATCAGTGGCAACATCAGTCAGTAGGAAGGAAAACAGAATCGTCCAAAATACTCACCTATTTAGCATAGAAATGGTGTCGATTTACATTTTCAACCTCTGCCTATTAGCCTGCCCCACGTTTTTGCCTACAATAACACATTAAATAGCCATTGGATGGTTTAGTCAGCTGAAAAGAAGCCTTATATGTGCTAGGGCTAATTCCAGTAGCGGTAGTTTCTAGCCCAACTCCACAGCATCGCATCTATCCCAGCTAGCACACCGCCCAATTTCTCGCTTCTACTCAACTTATGGTTCCTTAGAATGGCTCCCAGAAGTTATGACATTGCATTCGAATCATTGTCTTGTGTACGCCGTATGTAACTACTGTAATTGGGTCCTTGCGTTTGCTCATACTGGAATGCTTTTGAAATCGCAGGGACTAGAAACCTAATGTGTCACTCACTGCTACCCCAGGTGGTAGTGCCTAATCCATCACGTGACTGCTGACGCTATAGTTCTCACACCTCGTTCACTTTGACCAAGAGGGAAAAAGACACTTATCTTCACAATTCCGCCTAACTTTACCACCTTCTACAACTCCCATACCAACACTAATAACTGTGTCCAAAGTATAATGCACCTACAAAATCATTAAGACAATTGTCTTACTTTCCCCTGTTCACCTTTATGGTAACAAGCTTGTGAGTGAAATGTTGAATCGCCCACATAACTTACTACTCCATATGGAAAAGAAGACGTTTAGTACGCTAAGAACGTGTAAGCTCATAGGCTGATGTGCTAATGAAACACTTACAAATGCACCACGATCTGTAAGTGTAAAGCATTTCTGGTCTAAGGATGGGATTCCAACTACGTCTCCTTTTGTTGGAGACTTCGGTTCGGCTAAGAGATGCAGATGAATGGGCAGTAAGTTGCGTCTTAATACTTGACTCCGATGGGCTTACATGAGCAAATGTTTGATAGTTTGTAGCATTTATTGAATAATAAATTTCGTTCACTCTCACATGCAGCGCTCCAAACCAGTTTAACAGTGGTTACATTCTACTCCACTTGGCTCAC